GTGATTATTTCGATTGGCACACAGAAAAACAAATAAAGTATCTAGATTAGAATCATTGAAGTTAAAACAGTAATAGCAGTCATGAAGGGCTAAATAATTTTGTCCAATATTGTTCATAAGAATTATAAAGAAAAAATCAATGAATACATTTTAGCCACTGTCACTACAAATCATCCATGATACACATCTTGAGCCACTCACATATAGTCCAATAAATTGTCATTGATTTCATGGTCTGATATCATACGATGACTTAAAATTAAACAAATTTATATTCTAGAAAAATTAATTTCTGTTACTCTGAGTCTAACTTTAATCAATTCACGAAGTTGTGCCACCATTGTTCTCAGCGAGTTACTATATCACAATTGACCTGGTGGAACTCCATTGGTCACGGTTCCTGACGAGCGCGCGAAACCGGTACGTCCTGGGTTCGAATCCCACGAGCGGGATCCTGGATGCACACTGTTCTGCAGTCCCATACTAAGACGAAACGGCCATCCAGTGCTTCCACGTTTTCCATGGCGGTCTAGCTTCAAATGACTCATCAATTCAACTATTAAATATCTATCTGTCAATGACTTTAGCATAAAGTGTCGTAAATTAAAATACTTAACTTATTTAATTAATGTGAAAATCAGAATGATAGTTATCATCATCATCATCATCATTATTGTAAATGTCATTGAATTGTTTGCAAGAAGAAAACTTAAACTGTGTCTTATAAATTATTGCTCTGTAACACCTTCAGTGTATTTATACTAGTTCATTTTGGTTAAGCAGAATAAAAAAAAATATAATAGTTTTCTTTTGTTGTTTAATAGAGCTTTCTAAACACCATAGGTATTTAGTGGCAATCATTTCAATATAATTGATAGTTATTACCAAAATATATCTATGTTCATGAAGAGACTGATACTTCTTATAGGACTTAACTATAAACTATCCAGTTTTTCAATTAGACATTATCGAAAGAGACATTATGTCATTTAAACAAGTGAGTAAATTAAAAATTGATCAAGTCAGTCGGTCAGTCAGCTACGACGTAGGACCAGGCACATATATCCATCGGTCCAAGTTGCCATACCTCATTAGCACAGCAAGATGAACACTGGATTCACAGAAGTAGTTAATTCAATGGTGGTAATATGTAAAAAAAAGATTGCATATAAGCATATAGTACAGAATGAAAGAATTAGTTAATCTGTGTATGAACTAATGAAAAAGTCTGACAGAGCATTTCCATATCGTAGTTTAATATTATTCATTCCTGTATGCCGTTAAAGATTTATGCACAGTAGTTATATAATCATCATAGTGTTAGTAGGATAAATTCCTGATTACTATTGTGCTCTGATCTTGTTCAAAATTTGAAATATACTGATTAGTCCATTTTTAATCAATCAGTTGTGATGAACAAACAGAAACGCTAGGAGATTCTTACACGAATTGTATATCATAAACTCTGCTGCTTTATCTAGTTGTTTCTTTCCTTAATGGTACAAATTTTGTTCACTCACAACTCCTGTTATGATTTAAGATGAAAGAACCAAATTTCTAGGATCATGAAATACTAAACTGTAAAAGAATAAAATAATCCATTTAACAATCTTATTATAGTTAGCCATTTTAGAAATAAATTATTAAAACCTTAAAAACCCTAGATATGAAACTGGTGTTAAAACAAGTCATAAGCATAATATCAAACACCATACTGAATTTAAGTTATTACTATCACTAAGTTAGAATATATCTGCTATTTACAATCTGGTCTATGACTCATCTTTTGTAACTAAAACATACAAATACATTATACACTAATAAGTGCATTTAGAATTAGAACAATAGAACATTTATATTGATTTTACTGACATATAAGAATCATATTACATGTAATCTCTACAACATTAATACATTAATTCGACCTCCCGAAGAGAAGAAAACATGGTGGAGAAAATTAATAAAGCACAAATAATCAATAGGTGAAGTTTTATTATTTATTAAACTATAGAAAACAAACTCAACTCTATAGTTAAAAATGATTTCTTTCTTATTATGAATGATATCAGTTGTAATACAGAGAAATATATTCTTTCTTTAAAATGATCTCTAATATTAATGTCAAACTCAGTGGTATTTGAAAAGTAGAATGTTTTTTTTTCTAGATGGAAATCAATAAATCAATTTCGATTTTAAAAAATAACCTTGACTACTTAGGATACAATTCTACAACATTGTTTATCCATTCTAATAGATTCATTTATAAAGTTTCCATTTTTATGTTACGTATAAAACCAATCCTCAAAATAAAGAGCTTTCTAAACTGTATTGAGTATTATTGTGTTCAATCGTTAAGATTATGAGTCAGCTGAAGCTAGACCACTATGGAAAGCTTGGAAGCACTGGACGGCCGTTTCGTCCTATTGTGGGACCCAGTAGGTCCTGGGTTCGAATCTCTCAGTGGGCGAGGTCGTGGATGAGCACTGCTGAGGAGTCCCACAATAGAGCGAAACGGCTGTTCAGTGCTTCCAAGTTTACCATGGTGGTCTAGCCTCAATTGACTCATGATTTTAACTATTAAAATTACTATAATATCCACAAAACCCATCTGATATTTTTGTTTTACCTAAATTTTGTATACTGTTATTAAGCGAAGATGGATAGTGGCTAGCAGTGTAATCCAGGAGGCGCGCTTCGTCCTACTTAGGACTCGTCAGCTGAATGTACCTGCATCTCAGTGTTGATGTTCACTCCTGGACTCCAACCCAGTACCGTTCGCTCCAAACGCCATCGAGTTTTCTACTTAGCTACTGAGTCCTGGATAGCCACCTGCTTGTGCAACGGGGTGAAGTTTAAATTCCCTTGGTGTTGTTCTACTTGTATATTCCCATTGTTATTTATGTACATCCAGCTGACGAGTCCCAAATAGGACGAAACGCACATCCTGGACTCCACTGTTAGCCACTATCCATCTTTACTTAAAATGCTCGCAACTTAAGGCTGCATCGAGGCAATCCGCACAGGATGCATATATGCAAACATGAGACTAATCAATTGCAGTCCTAAATAACAATGGGAAGATGACAAGTAAAACAACACCAAGTGAATTTATTTGTTTTTAAGTTGTTTTTTGTTGTTGTTGCAGTTAATCAATTCGAAACTTGTAAAAGATATCATATCTGTAAATGGAAAGAGAATTTATTGAATATAAATGTACTTTAGAATAGTATAAAAGGTTTATATTGTAAAAATTAAATAACTGATAGTTCAATAGTTCCAATGAAGAAAATCGCATTGATTCATTTGATGAATTCAAGAAATAAGCTCATTCTAACAAGTAATGCTAAAATTAATTGAGCATTAGTAGGATAAACATACAATCATAAATAAACATACAGGGTATCATTTGATCAAGCAGAACTTTTAAAATAAACAAAAATAAATCTAAATATGATACAATTTGTATGATGACCTAGTGATACTATCCAACTGTTTAAACTGAAGTTAAACGGACTTACTATTTATGGTTCATTGGTTAAAGGTAAAATAGTTTGATACGCCTAGCTATATTTAGTATCAAACTAATATATTAGAATAGGTGATAAAATAAATAGTAACTTGAAATTAATGACTTGAATCCTATTCTTAAAATGCGATTTCCTGAATTTGCTTATACGGCATTTTGCTTCATTGCTGAAGCTAAAGTCATTGATATATATATATATATATATATATATATATATATATATATATATCAGGAAATAGCTTTTTTGAGAATACGTTCCCAACATCATTTTTAAGTGTTTTATGTTTACATGTACTAATTTTTTAAAGCTTTATTTCAAGCTTCGTTTACCTGATGCTCAAGGTAATTTATTTACATTCGTAGATTTAGTTAATCAGTAATGAATACTGTAGGGACTTGCATATATATCGTCATAAGAATGAAATAACTAAAAGAAATATTACTGGTAGTACAATTGAAACAAATTTGAAAAAGATCAAGTGAGAAATGTCGATGAATATAAAGAGTAAATCAATTTACATTACTCTTCAAGCGAAGTTATGAAATGTTGGAAGATCGAACTAGATTTTTTCAAAGCTAAAGAATCACGACCATTGATATTGGTTCATTTAGCTGTTAACTAACACCACTGAAGATATAATCACCAATGAGTAGAATAATTACTACACGTGATTTATAAATGTTGATTGCACTATATCACACTTAATAATGATTATGTTGTATCATAATGTTATGCAACTTGTTACTACTTGATTGGAAATAATGATATGTCACTGAGTTCTACAGGTTATTTTTCTGCCAATACGAACGAATGGAAGATTCAAGTATAAAATTAAATATTCCTAGTTAATATCATACAGAAAGGTGTAGACATAAAATAAAACAACAAAGATTTTGAATATTATCTTTTTTCCAAATTGTTGATTAAGTAAGTCCAACTGATATCTTCCACCTCACTTAAATACTGGGAATAATACTCAAAGTGTAGATAATTTGTATCCCATGTGTAGAAGAAAAAAATTAACAGTTCCTTAGTTTATTAAGTAATTTTTTTATTATAACAGGAAAAAGCAACATTTTTAATGTATTTATCGAAACCATTTTTGCCAACATAGACATACTTTTATGGTTCAAACAACAAAATGATCTCGGCTAGAACATCATTTGAATTCTGGAAGTACTGAACGGCCGTTTCGTCCTAGAATAGGACTACTCAGAAGCGCATTTGGGAATCGAACCCAGGAATTCTGGTCTCGCTGGTATATTTTTGAATAATAATATTCTCAGCGGTTAGTTAAAGTAAATATATCAGCCCTATATGAGGTCACTTGATGCACGTTCGAATCCAGTGGAAAATATCAATTTCGTCAACTAGCACTGAACTCAAGTCAAGCAGTGCTTCCTGTTAACTATACTCACCTACCTTACATAATAATAATATTATTTGCAAACTAAATATCAATAACACACTTACCGCTACAAAAGCAGGATCCATATCATTTCTCACCATGTATGCTTGTAATTCATCAATTGTGATGGTTTCTGAAAATGCCAATCAATCAGTCGATCGATTAGTCAATCAATCAATCGATAAGAATATATCTATTCATACGTAGATTACATATTTTAAACATACATAAACAAATCTTAACCAAACAATATTTGATTGTTGTTGATAGGGTGACCGTAATCGATTACATTGTCAATTTATTTTTGGCATAAACCGCTTCAAAATATATATAGAATAAGTAAACAATCATTTCGCATAAACACATATTTCTATGCGACAGGATTATGGAATGGTTGACCTTATTGTGTTGTTAATATAGTTCGTAAATACCAGTCTGTAGTTTGGATATTTTAATGTGTCGCTTAATTAATAAACATAGAATAGTACTATATAAACTTATGTTAATTTAATTCGGCTATTTATTTACTCTGGAGAAGTGGCTTACATTAAGTCACGAAACGTCAGAAATACAATTTTTCTAGGCATTGGGATACACCAAAATATGTTTATTATTAGCTTGCTACTCAATGATCAATTTGTTTAAAACTATCATAGTCATAGTACAAAAACTTAGATGGTTGTATGGAAAGGATTACTAATCATAGTTTCAGCTTGTTATAAAGGAAAGATTAAAACAAATTTATTTTCGTCTAAATTGGCCACGTAGAAAGTCACATTTTAACTTAAAATCTATATTTACGATTATCATTTGTTAGTTATTTAAAGGTTGAATATTTTATTCATTCTGTTTTTTCATCAAAATCATGAATCAGTCTAATTCAGACCACCATTGAGAACCTGGAAGCATTGGACGGTCGTTTCTTCCTAGTGTGGGACTCATCACTGATGTACAAACTCGACTCCGGACACGGAACTTGAACCCCGAACTTTCAGTTTCACATACAAACTCTTAACCTTCATAAGACTGAGTTGGCATCAAACGATATTAGTTTCTAATTTAAATCTCATACTTTCACAATTAACTTAGTAAGTAGTAATTGTTTCATCAACCCTAGACTATCCTTCATCATTGACATTCTGTGTTACATATTCGAAAAAAGTGATTTCGAATAGAGAGCTCTTTTTACTGGAATCATTATTTATATTTCAAGAAAATTCAGACTGAGACTGTATTCGAACATGCAACCTCCGGAATACTGATTAAAACAATTTGTCAATAAATCTGAAAGCATCTACAGTTAACTGGATTTTGAATTTAGTTGATTTCTTACGTAATATGTCTATTTTCTCAATTATATGGTAGACGAATATCTATTCAAATTTTTTTACATCATTTACTACGCAAGATTATATATAATTGGTAAACAAGACGTAATAAGCTACTAAAATTCAGCAGAGCTTCAAATATCTATTAATAGTAACAAAATTCTAACCTGAACGATCCTGATCTATGGCGAAAAACGCTTCTATAAAAGCATCCATGTTTATCATACGTTTTACAACAAATTAATCCACAATGTGCAATCAGGACTTGAGAGAGAAATCCGTTTCGGTTTTTATTACTTTAAACACGCATTATGTCATAGAATAGGAACAGAAGCGTGGTTTAATTTTCGCCCACGTTTTTGAAGGTCACTTGCAAAGGCCAATCCACAAGAGCCAATAAGAAACCGATAAAAATATTTTTAGCTTTTTGTTCATTTGTTTATGTGGCCTAGATGAATTTATTTGTCTATCAGTTATTAAGATATCTGATAGTCCAATCACTGTCGAATTGTAAATCTATGAAAAAAATCACCTACGCACATTGTTGTGACTGGAATAGGTTAAACATTAGCTGTTTTAGAAAAACAAAAAACTAGTCGAAGTATATCCTATCAGCAAGTACTATAGGTACATGTTGTTTTCAGAATATTTTCATCAGATCACCACTAACTATGTCAGAGTTTGCTGTGATGGTCTGCAAAATAAACGACGTGTATATTAAATATGTAAAACAAATTTTCTCATTATCCAGTAGTTAGATATAGGCCCTGAAAAAATAAAGCTCTAACCACAAATCAAGTTCTGTAATCGATAGTTCTCAGTCAGTTACAACGTAGGACCAGCCACATACATCCATCAGTTCACGTTGCCACACCTCATCAGCACAAACAAGATGAACACCGGATTCATAGAAGCAGTAAACTCTATGGTGTAACACATAAAGGAAAGATTTTATGCAAGGATATAGTACAGAAAGAAAGAATTAGTTCATAGAAAGAAAGATATGAAATGATTTTAATCTTAGTTTGAAGGAAGACATAAAGTGTATACACCTACGCCATTGTGATCAATTCTGAGCCATGTCACCATGAGTCTCCAACCATTGGTTACGATAGTCACGCGGACCTCAAACAAGTAGTCTGCATCTACCAACATGACTCAGACCAAAAGTTAGTGACTTCAAGCACTGATGCCACGTTTTGGTTTGGCCACCTTTAACTTTCTTCCAACCATTCCCAACACTAGTCAACATTGCACGTCGTGGTAACCTGTGTTCAGGCATACGCAACGCATGACCCAACCATCTCATTCGATGAAGATTCATAACCTCATCAACTGAATTACCATCATTCCCTAATACCCTGCATCTAACCTCACTATTACTTACCCGATGATCCCAGCAGATGCGAGCAATATTTCTAAGGCATCTGTGGTCAAATACTAGTAACTTACGAGTATCTTCTACTCTTAATGGCCATGTTTTACTGTCGAAAATCAAAGCAGAACGAACTGCTGCGCACTATACTCGTCCTTCTATTGATAGATGGATATCTGGCCTTCGCCATAAGTGACGTAAGTTGGCGAAAGCCAAACGAGCTTTTTGAATCCGTGTTGAGATTTCGTCAGACACCAACCCATTAGGGTTGATCAGACTTCCGAGATAAGTAAAGTTGTCAACGCGTTCGACTACTTCACCCCCTATCCTTAGATCAGGTGTTGACGCAGACCAGTCCTGAAGAAACAACTTGCATTTAGAGGGAGAAAAGCGCATCCCAAACATCCTAGCATTGTTGCTCAGTGCTATCAAAAGACTCTGCATTTTATCAGCGTCTTCACCAAACAGGACTATGTCATCTGCGTATTCTAAGTCGATAAGTGGGCCTCCTGGTGGGAGATCAATGCCCGAGAATTCAGTCGATGAGAGCGTTATTTCCATCAGTAGATCTATGATGAAGTTAAACAAAAATGAAGAAAGTGGACAGCCTTGACGGACACCACTTGAGGTTGCAAAAGCAGATGACAGTCTGCCATAAACTCTAACTCGACTAGTAGTGTTCGAGTAAAGAGCCTTCACAAGGTTTATGTACCTCTGAGGTACACCTTTCAATGACAGACACTGCCACAGAACCTCTCGATCTACAGAGTCAAACGCTGCTTTTAAGACAAGGAAGACCACCATTGTCGGACGCTGATAAGTATGCCTGTGTTCTAGAATCTGACGAATGGTGAATATGTGGTCGATGCAACCACGACCAGGTCTGAAGCCAGCTTGATTCTCTTGTGTTTGCAGTTCACGAGTCTTAGTTAGGCGCCCGATAATTATTGAGGCTAGTATTTTAGATGCAATATTAGTCAAACTAATCCCTCTATGGTTGTCACAGGGTGATTTTGACCCCTTATTATGTATCGGGACAATAAACGATTGCTAACGATCGCTAAAATTAGACCACCATCCTTAAAGACCTCTGGAGCGAATCCATCTGGACCAGCTGCTCTTCCTCGTTTCAGATTAACTATAGCATTTTGAACTTCAACAAGATTCGGGGGATCTACTTCAATGTTCCATTCACACTGTCTTTGGAAAGGTGGGTAGTTGTATAGTAGCTGAAGGCCAGCTGAACTGCTGCTTAACGTGTTCCGCCCATCGTTCTAAGCGTCTGGACTGGGAGCAGATAAGAGTGTCGTCTTTTTCCGAGATAGTCTCACTTACGCTTGACTTTTTAGTTCCAGTTACTTTTATGAGTCTGAAGAGCTGTCTGGTGTTACCTATAGCGGCCGCTTTTTCCATCTCGTTTGTTTTTGTTGCCCACCATTCCCCACGGTCGTTCCATAGACTTTCGCTCAACCTAGATCGATAGTTCTAATTCATGAACTTTTATTTACAACTCATTGTAACCAATATTGGTGGTGAATTATTAGTCTATTAGAGGGACATTTATTAAAACTGTTTGTTTGGATGTTTTCTCAAACTTTTCAACTGATATTTGTAACTATTTCACAAAAAACTAACATGGTTTTTAGGCTTCATGATTCCAATCAGTGACACAAAATCTAAACATTTCTCCAGTAGACTAAGGCTCTTAACTAACTTATATGAACTCAGGAGAATACATAGAAGATTAGTTACAAAATTAAGGTAAATCACTTTTCTGAATAAAATTTTTAGTTGTTGTAAAACTGCTATAAACTGAAGTAGTATAACCCTATCAAAAGTGTACATCAAAGCTCTATGATTTATAGACATGTAAACAAAAAACTCTCATCCAAAACCCCTTTCAGTAAGTGAACGCTAAACCTTCTAGTAAGTTATCCTTAGATCACTCTTTTAAAAACCAACAGTTCATATTTCCAAAATACGTCAAGTTATAGTAAATTACACTGTTGAGAGTAACATATTAGGACAGGACAAGTACCCAGCGTTATCTAATTTTCGAGATTTTTCTGTATGAGATCAGTACATGATGTTAATCCTACGGTTTCTGCAAATCTCCCATTCTAAGTAGCTAATAAATTATATTATTTTATGATACAAATGTTAGAATATAAGCACGATATTAGCCACTAATTCGAAGTATGTCTGCTGAAGCAAGTTGTCACTATGATTTCAACCTATCAATTGTTGAAACAACTTGTTCATAATTTTTTATCTACTTAGTCTTATTACCCCTCTTAAAGAATAGACCATCGACTAGAGACCTCGAACCAACTCGATGCTTTCCTTTTTGGTTGTCGTGAAGAGCTATTGATGTTATTAATGCCTGTGTATAACTCTCAGCTCCATGTATCTTTCAGTCTATCTCTTTTCCTTCTGCCTTGAAGATGTTACATTAGGGTTTTTAAAAAGCTTACCGCGTCACTATCATTAATTCCATGATTTGATGTCACAGAAAATATTTTCCCTTAATTTATTACTAAAAGCCCAAAATGAGAAGCTGATTATTGTAATATTTCTTCATCTGCAGAGAACTGTAGATCACCACCGTAGATGGTGTGTTTAATGCAGTTAGATGGGAATGGTTTGACCTCTTAGATTACGTCAAAGTCACACCTCGCAATTGGTATCTAACCTGCACAACTTTGTCGTGGTATCCAATTAATTTGATTACTTTGCTCTTTGCAGTAGAACAAACATAACATTATACTATGGGAAAAGACGAGAGGATTACTGAGTTGAGCCACTTTCACATGGGCTAGATTATGGAGTGCAATAGGTTTATCGGCGTTAGTCATCCTTGTCCTTAGCAGTATTCGATAAAATACCCAACGTTAGATAATCTGCAATCTAAAGTAGATAAGATTCAGCTTGATGGATGATTAGGCTAAGGTCCAGTAATATTTCGAAGGCACTACACATAATATCGTGCACTGAATAATGAATAGGCATAAAATATGAGCATTTAGTTGTGAAGATTGTTGAGTTTCACTGAAACCATGAACCGATCAATATTAGTCCTAGTGTAGGCCTCTCCATTATTGCCTATGACAAACCTGCACCTGGCAATTGATTGCTGGACCTTCGGTCACAGCTCAGTGGTTTGGAGGTTGAGCGTTCGCGTGCGCGAAACTGAAGGCTCTATGCTTGATTCCATGGTGTCTGTTCGTCTATCTTCACTGTTAGGGAGATCGATATCAGGATGAAATGATCATTCAGAGCTTTCAGGTCTTCAATAGTGGTCCAACTTAGATCGATTCAGTGAAGCATAAAAGTGTTACTTGAGTGTACTACTTGTAAATATAAGTAGTGTGAAAGTTACTAGAATCAATAGTTTTCTCGTATATGTATGTACATGCCCATAATTGACCGAAATTTACACAAAAAATTTCCAAACCCCGAGCAAAGTCATTTTCGGTTTAATTTGTTACCATCCTTGTAAATGAGGTATTCATATTGCGACTGCTTACTATCCAATTTATAGCATTCAGCGTAATAGCATTCATACAAGACTTATTTAGAGTTATCAGTACTGTTGAATAAACCTTCTAATCTTCCTTAGATTAACTTAATTATTACATGAAAATGAAAGCCTCTAGTTGGAATTCCACTAAAACCCTGCTGTCCTTTAGTCTGTCTCAGCAAAGCAAAATTAATATCCTTTTTACACTGCCGAACATGATAATTATTATACTGCAGTGAACGAGAACACTGGAGGGGATCACCAAATGTATTTGAATACAAAATTACAGAATGTCCGAGTAAAATCTGTGAACCACACAATAAATACTTC